GCTCGGATAAGGCTGTGTGACTGATGCCACTTGTAGATGGAACATCTGGAGCAAATGATACCCGCTGTGTACAGGGCCTGCTATTCTCTAGAACAGCGGTTCTCAACCTGTGGGTCGTGACCCTTTGGGGATTGAACGACCCTTTCACAGGGGTCGCCTAAGACCATTGGAAAACACATATATAATTACATATTGTTTTTGTGATTAGTCACTATGCTTTAATTATGTTCAATTTGTAACAATGAAAAAACATCCTGCATATCAGATATTTACATTACGATTCATAACAGTCGCAAAATTACAGTTATGAAGTAGCAATGAAAATAATTTTATGGTTGGGGGTCACCACAACATGAGGAACTGTATTAAAGGATCGCAGCATTAGGAAGGTTGAGAACCACTGCTCTAGAGACTGCCAACTGGAGGAACCATCAGGAGACTCAAGTATCAGTCTGATGCCTTCTACGGAAAGAGGCATTCTCAGCAGGACACTTATGCTGGATCGTTACAGCCCATCTAAGGCATGTGCTGGAAGGGCAGAGTGCCTGTGTGCTGGCCTACGGACCACAGTGGCAGGGAAGGCACACACACCCTGGGCAGCCCAGAACCACCTGGATGATTCCCCGGCTCTCATGGAATTCCTACAGCTCACACAGGAGGAGGGTGCCGAGGGCTGGCCACGTAGAGATCTACCAGGAAAAGGTGTTAGCTCTCCTGAACCCTGTCTCTGGAGACCTGGTGATCTGAGAAGACTGTCAGTAAACATACTTATTTCGGGGCTCATACTGAAGCTCATTACTAGTTTTGCTGATTTTGAACAGTACTTCCTGCCAGCACTCCTCCCATAGTCATGCTGTGTTCCTGGTTAAGGTGGATCAGCGAGAATGCTTGGCCCCATTTCCTCAGTGGGAGGGGAAACTACCTGATTGAATTGGCTGGCTCAGAGGACAACCAGTGCAGAGGCAGCAAGGGCCTGAGGTTGAAGGAGAGTGGAACCATCTACTCCTCTCTCTTTGTCCTGGGCAAGATGGTGGATATGCTGAACCAGGGCCTCCCTCTTGTGCCTTATCAGGACAACAAGCTCACTCTCTTATGGCATCCTCATTGCCAACACTGCCCCCGAGAGATGCTTTTACCTAGACATAGTCTCTACACTCAACTCTGCTGCCAGGTCCAAGGAGCAGCTTCCTGTCTTGGCACCTGTTAAACTGTTTCAGAAAGAACTGGTAGGCCCTTCAGAGGCAAAGAGAGCCCAAGGCCCTGAGGAAGAAGAGATTGGGAATCTTGAGCCCCTGGTACCTTCAGCCTCTGTTTCCCAGAAGTTCAGCCCCTACAGAAGCTAAGTAGCATGGACTGGCCATGCTGTAGCGCCTCCTGAGCTTGGGCCATCTGCTGGGCTGCCAGGGGATCCAGGAGACCCTGCTGCTGAGCACCCCAAAGTGAGAGCGAATGGTGATCATGGAGACAGTGGAGGAGAAGGACTTGGCAGCCCTAGCTGGTTTGGTTCAGTGGATAGAGTGTCATCCTGTGAACTGAAGGCATCTGTTCGATTACAGTCAAGGCACATGCCTGGGTTGTGGGCTCATTCCTCAGTAAGGGGCATGCAAGAAGCAGCCGATCAATGATTCTCTCTCATCATTGATGTTTCTATCTCTCTCTCCCTCTCCCTTCCTCTCTGAAATCAATAAAAATACATTAATAAAAAAAAAAGAGAGAAGGATTTGGCAATTGAAAGGCTTAATTAAGATGAAAAAAACCAAAACAAAACTGGAAGCCAAGGTGCGGGCCCAGGAAACTGTGGACCCAAAAGAGAAAGAGAATTGCTCTCCCACAATGCTCTGACCCCTTTGCCCGCCACACGGTCACAGTGGCTAAGACCCTCAAAAGGTTGTGGTGATTCCCCTACAACAGATTCAGGAGCAGGCAGCATCCCCAAATGCCAACGTCCATATCCTGAAGAAGAAAAGCCACAAGAGAAAGTTGTAGTGACTGGATGCCAGAAGAAAAGGCTGAGGACTCTGGGAACTACAGATCAGCCCGGAACTACTAGCCCATGGGTACCAAAAAATACTGGATATCCCAGCCTGGGATCTGCACAGCCTGCAATGCATTGGCCAAAAGAAGGCCCAGCTCATCGTGGTCTGGAGGGAGCGCCACGGCCCCTTCAGCCAGAGGGAGGACTTGGAATGCATGAAGGTCATGTCAGGAAAACAGCTGGAGTCTCTCCTGAAGGTATTTTGGGTCTTGCTGGCCCCTCCTGACTGCCAGCTCTTCTTTCCCGTTGGCCTTTTCCCCACCCTTTTCAGTCCTTGTATAACCACTCCTTGTATAAATACAGTTTAACTCCGATAAAAGAAGAAAAAAAGGCCAACTTGCTAGTTGAAAGTGTCACTGTGCAATAGCAGGTGAAGGACTGGGCAGCCCTCATAGGACTCAGGCCAAGGAAAAGCATTCTAGATGTATATGCTCATTGTCTTCACCACACAAGTCCAAGCTTTGCTTTCTGAGTGACACAGAGGAAAAATGTCCTGAACAGGCTACTCTAAAGAGCAATTCTGACGACATCGCCTTTCTTATGAGAGTCCCATGGTTTCTTTTCAGAGGTCAGCCAGCCCCTCGGAACGACCCTGTGCCCTGAGGTGGGTCTGGAGCGGGAGGGAATGGGCAGCAGCCGCACACCCGACACCAGTCCAGAGACCTGGATGAGAGTTAGACTGTGGTGCAGGTTTAAGGCAGCTACAAAAACCAGGACATTTCTCAATACATTTAGCTAAAACCCCACCAGTATTGGACCAGCACTGATGAGAAGAGAAAGAGTGAGCCTCACAAGAGGCCCAGGGCAGCTCTGAGTCCCTGAGAGCACATGCTGTCACACAGCAAACACACCCAGGCACAGAGTTACAGTCTCACACAGGAGTAGAGGCCGTAGGCTTGATGTCACCACAGGACTTGGAAGAAAATAAACCTTTAAACATGGTATCGCTCTCCTAGGTAAGAGCAGGAAGGATAAACCACAAAACCCAAAGGCTAATCCGTGGACTTGACAAATTGAACAGTATGTGCCCAGGGCTAGATAGAGTGCAGTCACCTAAGGTCCTGGCTGCACAGCAGGGGTTTCCTCCCGACAGCCACAGAAGATGTGTACAGTGCGGGCCGTGAGCAGCTGCCCACCTTCCACAGTGGTGTAGATGGGGCACTGAAGGGGCCTGTACGGCCACCTCAACCTGCCTTTCCCACTGCCTGGGGACAAGCCCATGTCCACGATGGGGGCTATGAGAGACGGCTAGGGACTGTGTATTACACAGTCCTGGCCAACAAGAAACAACACTTGTAAGGAAAGCGGGAGCCCTCGATGTTCAGGGGGTCCTGGGATGTTTGTTTGTTTTAGCGAATAACCCACTCTGTTAGTCCAAAGGAAACAGTTCTTGGATGAGAGCTTACACTACAACTCTCAAGCCAACCGGTGGTCTGGTTCTGTTTTTCTTCAACCAAATACCTGTTATACCCCCAATTAAGCTCAACAGAAGGAAAGAGTTCAATTGCATTGTAAACCAATGCCTCTCCAAGCCAACTACCTAAACATAGCACTCTTTCTGGGTCTCAAGTCATTAATGGGACAATGCCTTTGGCACTGAGACACCAGGATTTGGCTCACTCAGGACTTCGTGCAGTGGCTGGACAAACCAGGCAAAGCCTCCATCCCAATGACTTGTGGCAGCATGCCTCATCTTAAAAGCAGCCTCAAAAGGCAGACTACACACATTCTATTAAAGATCAACATGAGTCAGACTGTGTGACGTTGAAAGTGGACAGCATCAGCTTTCAGCTGAATCAAAGAACAACAAGAAAAATACAGCTGCAAGACTAATTCACCAGCTCCCAGGGGGACTAACTGCAAACACTTATCTATTTTAAACTCGATGCATAGTTTTAAACATCACTCCAAGTGAAAGTTTTAATTCTGTGACATTCAAAACAGAATACTGGACCAGAGAATTAGGAGAAGAAAGAATCCCTAGCCATGGATACAAGCCAACAGTCTGAGCTCACTGCACGAGCAGGTGCAGGGCAGCCTGTGAAGGCTGGGAGTGGTCAACATGGGCTTTGATTTACCTGCTCTCCTGGACTCACATTCTTTAAATTATTCTGTAAATCGAAAATGACTCTCTCTCCACTGGTCTGTGCAAAAGAGTTGCCAAAGAAAAGGCTCACGTCCAGGGGGGATTCGGCTTCAGAGCCCCAGGAGTCTGTGTCTGTGCTGCTAGAGTCCTCAGCTGTCGTGGGCGGGTAACTGAGCTGCTCTAACTGGTCGAGGATGTCAGAGAACTGAAAGGCCGAGCTGGCCTCAGAGCGCACAGAGCAGGCGGGGAAGTTGGCCATGGAGCTGGCCTCGGACTGGTTGGTGGAGCTGGGTGTGTGCACGGACAGGCCAAGCAGTGGGAGGTGGCTGAGGGAGCTGCTCTGGGAGGGGCTCAGCAGGCTCTGCATCAGGCTGGCCTGGGCCTTCACCTCCAACAGCTCCGACGTGTCTGAGGGGTGCACACTGCCAAAGCCACTCTCTCCCTCAAACTCAAAGCCATGCTCTACGCTTATGGGCGCTGCCTCAGTAGAGTACCTGTCTGGACTGAACTGGGCAGAGTGTGGGTGACCACACAAAGGGGTCTGCAGGGCCAAACTGCCATATGGGCAAGAAAATGCCTCAGAGCCTCCGGCAAAGAAAGAGATGTCTGCTGGGTCGTCATCTATGAACTCCTCAGACACCTGCAGCTGGGTGTTTGTCAATGTGAAAACAGGGCTCCCCCCAATGCCCTGCCGACCACATGGGTGCTCCCCCATGGAGGGGAATGAGCCCGTGGTCAAGTCTCCCTTGCTGTGGTCATTTTTACCAGCAGCTCTGCACTCCCTGCTGCACCCCCCTGCACCCAGGGCTAAGGCACTGTGACTCTGCCCCCCAGGACTGCTGGGGCTGCAACTCCTCACAACACGACAAACCCCAACACCTTGAACAGGCTGGAGCGCAGGGGGCCCTGGGGGCTGGGCCTGTCTCATGTCGGGTCCTTCCATGGCTTCGCAGCTCCTCTCTGCAGCCGGCCTCTTGGTGTGGGGAGCCTGGGGCTCTGTCAGGGAGATGATGCTGTCCTTGATATTGGGCCGGCCAGGAGGGGCAACTGGGGAGGTAGGGACTGAATAGAAGGAGGCATGTGTTGATGATGGGGACGCAGAAGTCCTCATGCCCTCAGTGAAGGAGATGCTCTGGGGATCAAAATTAAGAAAAGAAAAATAGGAACATAATTTTATAAATCACCATTAAAAAGTTGCAAAATTAACTGGGCCCAAATTAGTAAGTCCACACATTTCTATCACAACTTCCACAAAGGACAGTGGGGTCAGACTTTCCCTTTTACCAAAGACTTGTCATGCACACAGGTGTCCAAAAGGACCAGGATCATCTGTGTACAATCCTTTATCCTGCCATTTTTCCTCTATGGAAGTAAATGTTCACAACACAGAAAACTCCCATCCCTGAAAATAAAGACTGCCAAGAGTGACTGAAAAAATCGGCCTTGGAATCCTATCACTTGGAGATGACAGACAGATGATATGGTGAGGTTTGCTCCCCAGCCTTTTGTCTCCCTGTGTCTAACTGTCTTTTTTAATCAAATGAGTCATGTGACATGGGCTTCTTTTCGATCGGCTAGTTTTATTTAGTGACATGTTTTGAATGTGTCCCTGGTCACATTATTTTTCTAAAACAAGACTTTTAATGGCTCCTGAGTGCATCAAAGGGACACAAGTAACACTGTGACACCTGTCTCCAAGAATGAAGCCTTCTCTTCACTTAGGACTCCTTTCTGCAGACAGAGTCCCAGGACTGGAATTGCTGTGTAAATGATACAACTAGTTTTAAGACTCTTGTTACAACATTGCCAGATTATTTCCCAAAAGAGTGCAGGGGATTGACATGGTGTCGGTTTTAACCAGAAGGACTCACCTGCTTTGGCAATTCTGTAGTTAGAGCGCGGCCTGACGTCCGCGTCCTGCTGTGTCTTCTGCAAACAGAGAACAAGCTGTGAGCCGCCTCCTCTGGATTCCTGTTTGACCGTGCTTTGCCCACAAGAAAGAGCTCACACAGAAATGTGGCTAAGACTCTGATTATATGCCAAAAGGCATCTAGCTAGAAATGGGCAGGAGGACAGAAAACAAGAACAGGAAATAAAAAATATATGTCTCGGAGAGGTAAAACTGTCCTCCCACACTGAAGGAACAAGGTGAATGTTCAGATTCAAAGTTTATTATACTATGTAAAAACATATGTAAGCTAAGCTATGCAGACTAGAAACTAAAAGTAATATCTGTATCTGTATATAATAACTGTACATAGATATTACAAATAAACAACTCAAGTTTCAAAATACATGTTTATGTATTTGAAATGACTTTTATTCAAATAAAGGTTAAAATACTTAAAATATTAATTTTAAAAGCATACACTTTACATCCTCAAGACCAAAGAGCTTACCTTTCATAGGACGTTCTTGTCATCACACCGTCTTTGACATAATCTACTAGTTGTTTCTGAGTTCTTCCACTGTGAACAAAGGTTCAAACATTAAAGAAAAGAATCAATGATAATTTGCAGCATTAATTTTTCACAAAGGCAAGACTTGCCCATCCTTCCTCATAAATCTATATACACATTTTAAAGTTGTGCTGTGTAATAAGCATCAGCAATTTTCTAAACAAAGTTTTTATTACATCTACTTTTTCCACTATTTTATTTCATACTAGAGGCCTGGTGCATGATATTTGTGCACTGGGGAGGGGGAGAGGGAAGTCCCTTAGCCTGGCCTGTGCCCTCTCGCAGTCTGGGACCCCTTGGGGGATGTCTGCCTGCCATGGAGGTGAGAGAGCCATGAGCCCAGTGGCAGCAGGAGCCTCTCCCGCCTCCAAGGCAGCACTAAGGAGCAGCGAGCCTGGCTTCTGGCTGAGCAGTGCTCCCCCTGTGGGAGTGCACTGACCACCATGGGGCAGCTCCTGCGTTGAGCGTCTGCCCCCTGGTGGTCAGTGCACATCATAGTGACTGGTCATTCCTCTGTTCGGTCGATTTGCATATTAGCCTTTTATTACATAGGAGGATGCTTTCTCCAGTGTGACAGTAGCTGCCTTCTGTATGTAATTCTCTGAAACGTCTTGCAACATTTTCCTGAACCAGGGATATTTCTGTTCTCAGCTCTACAAAGCAGCTTAGTCCCGCCTGGCCGTGCGCCGTCCCACCTGTATCTGAAGGAGGAGCCCCTGCTGAAGAGGACAGCCTTAGCCTTTGGCTTCGGTTGATCAAAGAGTCTAAAGAAGGTGTGATACTCCACACAGATCTTCCAGAAGTTCTTACATTCATCTCTGCTACCCAACAAGAACTCCAGTGTGTCCTGGTAAGGTCCCTAGAAACAAATACAAAGGTTCAAGTAACTAATTCAACTATGAAATTTAGGGAGCATTTCAGATAACAGGCTATTTCGAAGTTAAAAATTAGGAAAATGTTTTCCTGAAAATTGTAAAGATTCCTGGTTCCCTTTACATTTAAGAGAAGAAAAACACAACACACACACACACACACACACACACACACACTCACTGTTTAACTATCAGAACATGTAGCCACCCATAGTCTCCCCCCTGTGAACATCCTGGAGTGTGTCCTTGTCAGATTTCCCAGAGGGAAGAGGGCACCTCCTGTGACGGTAGACATGCTTGTCTGTTATTACTGAACCATTTTCAGTGGGGCCCTGGGGGATGATGTCCAGGCTCACAAACATCACCATGAAGAAACTACTGCATTACCTACCTCTCAGGGTTATTCCTGGAAATGTTACACTGAGCTCACAGAGAATGCAGTTTTAACCTTTTGATATATATTATTAAACTACATTCCAGAAAAACTCTAATACTTTGATTCCTAGTTACTCTTAGGCAAGCATGTCAAACTTGCGGCCGTAGGGCCGCATGCAGCCCGTGATGAGTATTTTCGCAGCCCAGCCAATATAACGGTATGTAAGAAGAGTTTTAATAAAAATTCCGTTACTTAATCTTTACAATATCCTGTTATACATAATTATAAATAACAAACTACAACATTTACTAATGACTGATTACTATAATCGTGTTGCATTCATTTCCCTTACATGCAGGCGCACCATTTCTCTCCACTAATACTAGCAGTGAATATTTTAGCAGCCAATTGCCACATCATTAGTCTTGTACTGACTTGCTTGGTATGTGCAACAGGAAATAGTTCGCTCTCGGAGAACAAGAAAAATAGGTTTATTTGCATTACGCTTATTAATTTGTGCAGTTATTCAGTGTCTGGTAAGTTAATGTTCAAGAAAAAATATTAATTTTTATTAAAATGTTCTATTATTTTATGTTAACGATTACTCATTTATTTCAGTCCTTTGTATCCAGCTGTCTCTACTGAAATAAACTTACGTTTCTATGAAAATTGAAGCTTTTGGTTTTTTTTGCAACCTACATAAACTTAAACCTTGTTTATTTGGCCCGTGTTAGCCTTTGAGATTGACATGCTTGCTCTTAGGAATCTAAGTGCTTGGGGACGAAAAAGACAACTTTACCAAGTGCAGCAATAGACATGGTTCTGAACTTTGAATATTATGCTATTCTAATTAATAGTTGCTGTGCTATCTTGAGCCATAATTCTCTTCTTTCTCTGTCTTTTCAGAGTAACTGCTGGAAACATTTTTTTAACTTACAGAGAAAACAAGCAGTCTTTTGCTTGTGTTTTGTCTCTTTTTGGCATTCCTTGTGTTTCCTTTCAACTAAGGAAGAGAGATCTGAATAATAAACAATTAGGAACCCTCTCACAGACAGCCTGTGGCTTGACCTTGACAAAAGCCCTTGATAATGAAGTGCCTGTGAATTCTCAGGGCAGCCCCTCTTCTGGACCAGCCCAGGTCTGAATCCCCACCACCAAAGCTGTGTAAACTCTCCCGGCCTCTTAAGCTTCCACCCAGCAGGTGGTTCAGCTAATCTTTCATCCCTAACTTCCTTTGTACATTGTAAATGTAACAATTTGAACTTATTTGAATAGTTTGAAGTACTGGATTTTTGCCAACTATCAGATTGATATACACTTTTCCTTTTACTCCTTTCTGTAAATTCATAGACAATTATTACTTTACTGATTAATAATCTCAATAGAAAGGAATATTTATTTTCTGAAAAATCAAGCTCCTTCATTTAGAGCTATTAAAAGGGTCGATTTCTGAGCCACAGATAACATGAGAACGTGGGGAATGCCCCTCAGTTAACTCTGGACATTACTCGGATTTGCTGTAGGGCTCCCATCATAGCTCACATTTTGTATCTCAACTCCTGTTACTTTGAGCACAAAAGGCTGTAACATCCAGTATTCTCAGCAGCCCCGGGGCTTGTCAGACAGGCACATTCTCAGGGCCACCCAGCCCTGCAGAACCTACGCCCCCTCCGCCCCCCAAGTCGCACTTTCACCAGAGAACTACTGGGCAGACTATGGGGAGCCCCGCCAGACCCCAACCCGAACCCTGTCCTTAAATTCCGTGTGCATTATGCTGAAATGACTTACAAAACAACTAATTACTTGCTATTCTAGCAGAATACATTCTCTTACAATTTACCAACTGCTCAAAATATAATACTTACATGGACCTCTGGGTGGAGTTTGATAAGGAATCTTTTCCTCTTGAAGCTGAGTTTCCGGACCCGGGACCAGTTGAAGGTGTTGATTTTGGTGGTGGACTGAAACCCAAGAGCAGACACTTAGTAATATGGACACAGACTCAGGAGCTAGAGAATGTGTAAATGACATCCTTGCCAGATGCACAGCAACGCACGTGGTCTTTTACAATCACATTGGGAATGACTGAATTAAAATGTCAATACTACTAATTTATGTTTTAGAAAAACAACTAGATTTCTTGGGTAAGGCTTTACATAACAAGTTCTTTTTTATTACTTTTAATATTAAGCATTTAAAAATATATTTTTTTATTGATTTCAGAGAGGAAGGGAGAGGGAGAGAGATAGAAATCTGAATGATGAGAGAGAGTCATTGATTGGCTGCCTCCTGCACACCCCCTATTGGGGATCGAGCCCGCAACCCAGGCATGTGTCCTGACTGGGAATTGAACTGTGACCTCCTGGTTCATAGGTCAATGCTCAACCACTGAGCCACACTGGCTGGGCAATATTAAGCATTTTCGAAGCTCACCCCTACAAGAAGGCTTGACAGTCGGGAAAGGGGAAGGGGCAACAGTGGAGGTTGGGCAGGGCTGCTTTTTCACACCCACGTTTCTCAGAAGGAAAGGGAGGCCAGAGTGGGTCCTGGGTACTGAACTGAAACTAATGACATGAGCTCTTGACACTCAGCTCACCTAGTGCATGGACCTGGGTTTCTAACTACTCTCTACTAAGAAGAGCAGGGTTCTATGGTCTTCCAGGGTGAAGCAGGCAAAGTAGAAAACGAACCTAGAATAGTTTGTTGTGTAAGAAAGTGAACAAGAGCTCAAAAAATGATGGGGACATGTCACAAGGACACAGGAACCAGCTCGAAGGGCCAAATGAAGGGACAATTTAAAAATCAAAATAATGATAAAAACAGATAGTCAAATATCAGATTATAACCCAGGTTATTACAATTTGAACTTAATGCAATTATAATATAAATCCATAAATCCACAGTAACATAAAGAAACTAAATAAATGTGGAGAAAACCCTTCTAGGAGCACAAAAAAGGGACTTTACAGAGTTGTCATTCAGCAGCCATCATAGTAATCCAACTAGGAGGTAGTGAATGAGGTCTCAAAGTATCTTTCCACAAAATATTTATTAATTACCAAGGATGAATAGTAACTTTCAGTAGAGAAGCCTGGGGATACCATCTGACCAAGTGATCAATGTTGATACCACCATCAATGGGAGAGGTGGGCTATATCACAGACTGTACCAGGTATATCCTTATGTCTGTGATTTCCTGCCCAAGAAGATGAGCCTTGGGCTAATCACTAGCAAGTACTGGACAAGCTCATATTATGGTCATTCTACAGCCTATAATGACCAGCCTATAATCTTCCAAAACCTCAAGGTCAAGAGGAAGTTCGTGATTGAAGAGACTAGACGCAGTGGTTCTCAACCTTCTGGCCCTTTAAATACAGTTCCTCATGTTGTGACCCAACCATAAAATTATTTTCGTTGCTACTTCATAACTGTAATGTTGCTACTTTTATGAATTGTAATGTAAATATCTGACATGCAGGATGGTCTTAGGCGACCCCTGTGAAAGGGTTGTTCAACCGCCAAAAGGGTCGCAACCCACAGGTTTAGAACCGCTGGACTAGAGAGACAAAATGACCGAACAGTGTTGGATCTTAGATGGGATCTTTTGCAACGAACAAGATTGGGGCAACTGGTGAAATCTGGATGGGTGAGGGTCGGGTTGGATGAAGGAGGTCTTGTATTGCGTTTGTAACTTTTCCGTAAGCTTGAAATTATTTCAACATAAAAAAATCTAAATGTATTAATACTTTTCTGGCATTTTCTACTCTTGATCATCATGACCATTTACTCTTTACTGCAAACTTGAGGTGGGTGACAGCAAGATAAAGAATGTTTTCCCTTCAGAGAGACTAAAAAAAATCTCTGCCATAAAAGGGAGGCGGCCCTGATACGTGGTACAATGTGGACCGACTGTGAGAACAAGGGGAGAGGCCAGGCAAGGCCAAACACTGAATGATCCCATTTCTGTGAACTGTCCAGAAGGAAATGCAGACAGAAAGCAGGTTAGAGGTGGTCAGGGCTGTGAGGGGCTGCTGCCAATGACTGCGTGTGCAGTGATTAAATGTTCTGGAATTAGGTAGTGGGGATGGTTGCACAATAATGTGCAACTGTTTACACCAAAAGAACTGAATGTACACTTAAAGTGGTGAATTTTATGGCATGTGAATTATATCACAATGAAAAAGATTCCTGATTTATGAGATGTCCTCAAAGCCAAGACATACATGTCTGAGTCCAAATGAGACCGGAAGTTTTCTAGCCCCCCAACTATGGCCCAAATGCTAAATTACTCTAATTTCTACTCAAGATAAAATATTGGAGGATTTTCAAAGATGTTCTAAAAAAAAAACAACAACGAAAAAAACACCCATCATAGCCAACAAAACAACCCAACACAAAACAGCAACAACAGAGAAGACTTGTTTCCAGCTGCTTGCTTGCCTTTCCGGTTCCCTCTTGCTCAAATTAAAAAGCTGCAGAGGCACTTTCAGTCTGGAAGTTCCTGCCTCAGGTTCTGAGTGTTTTCCCGGGTAATGCCACGACTTCCTCTGCCTCTAGGATTCCTGGGTGCTGGACCTGGATTCCTGCTGGAATCTCCTTCACCTCTCCCATCGGTCATCCTTCAGCTTTTATTCTGCTTTGTGGAGATTTCCTCAACTTTGTTTTTCCAACTGTCTGGCTCTGCTAATGCTGTCACTTCTGCTCTCACATGTGGAAATCTGCAGGCCACCTGTCCTCCCTGTGCCTGCATCCCACTCCTGTTTCAGAGATCTAAGGTTTTCTCTGACTCCTGTGAGGCTTTCTGGAAAATGTAATACAGTAAGTACATTACCAAGGTTCAAATCCCAAAGCTACTGAAAGTGAGTCCATCGTGAAGTCTGCCTCTAACCCTCCCCCAAAGCCTGCCAGCTGCCACACCTTGCTAGAAGCGACCAGCGCCACCTGCTTACTCTGTGTGGAATAAATAGTGTGTCTGAGTAATTTCCTTTTCCCCACAAGCAACCTGCACACAGTTTTGAGTCTTTTCTCCATGTAACGATCCATCTTGAAGTCTGTCTCCTAAGTCAGGACAGAGAGCTTCTGCATCTTTGTACAGCTGCCCACATTCCAATACTTCACTAATGCAAACAAGGCCAGAACAAAAAATTACAAGATGGGAGTTTCACGTGTGATAAAGAAGTGATCTGGGTCCTCACGAGCTGACACAATGTGGAGCCTTCTGTTTTGCTGATCTGACAGGTGATATGCAATCATGTCCTGTGAGGACGGTGCAGGGTTGTTTTTTTCTTTCTTCCATCACTGGCACTGCTTCTGTTTCTTCTGAGTTTCTTTGTCCCAACAATTTGGTTCTGGTTCTTCAAGAGAGAGGTCACGTGGGTTATCGTCTATGTGCCTCCTGCACAGCCCCCACTAGGGATGGAGTCCACAACTCAGGCATGTGTCCTGATTAGAATCAACTGGTGACCTTTTGGTGCATGGAATGATGATCAACCCACTGAGCACACTAGCTGGGCAATACCGCGCGCGCGCGCGTGTGTGTGTGTGTATATACATATAATTATTTTTAAAAAAATATTTTTATTTATTTCTGAGAGGAAGGGAGAGAAATAAAAACAGCAATGATGAGAGTAAATACTTGATCAGCTGCCTCCTGTACACCCCACACTGGGGATCAAGCCCACAACCCAGGTATGTGCCCTGATCGGGAATCGAACAGTGACCTCCTCGTTCATATGTGTGTGTGTGTGTGTGTATATATATACATATAATTATTTTTAAAAAAATATTTTTATTTATTTCTGAGAGGAAGGGAGAGGGAGAGAGAAATAAAAACAGCAATGATGACAGCAAATACTTGATCAGCTGCCTCCTGTACACCCCACACTGGGGATCGAGCCCACAACCCAGGTATGTGCCCTGATCGGGAATCGAACAGTGACCTCCTCGTTCATAGGTTGACACTCAACCACTGAGCCATGCTGGCCAGGCAATACCGAATGTTTATGTGATACTGTTGTTCCACTGATTGTGTCTGGAATATAATTAATAGTATTTCCACACATGGTTTTGTTATAAATTCTGTATTGCCAGTTAGGGATATAAATATACATTTTTCCTATATAAAATAGATAAGTAAAAATTAAGAGGGACTACAAGCCTGGCAACTAAATGCTCTGTCTGGTCTTAGACCAGATCTTGTCCCGGAGGAAATGAAGTTCTGAGCACACCCCTGGCCAGTTGACGAGCCTGGGAAATAAATGGTGTATTAAGATGTGTTTGAGCCCTAACCGGTTTGGCTCAGTGGATAGAGCGTCGGCCTTCGGACTGAAAGGTCCCAGGTTCGATTCCAGTCAAGGGCATGTACCTTGGTTGCGGGCACATACCCAGTAGGGAGTGTGCAGGAGGCAGCTGATGGATGTTTCTCTCTCATCGATGTTTCTAACCCTTTATCCCTCTCCCTTCCTCTCTGTAAAAAATTAAAAAAAAAAAAAAAGATGTGTTTGAGGCCTCCGTGGTAACTGCATTGTGATTATGTAAGGGAAAATTCTAGTAGGAAATACACACTACAGTTCTTAGGGGTAAAGGTCCATGATAAATATCAAATGCTTCAGAAATAATTGTCTGTGTGCAGGTGTGCACGGGAGTGTGTGCACGTTTGTAAGGAGGGAGGAACATGCCTGTAACGGCTGGATCTGGGTAAAGGATACATGGGATCCGAGCTACTCTAATTCTTACAGGTTTTCTGACAGTTTGAAAGTCTTTATAAGAGGAGGCTCTAAAAGCTGGGCACAGGCCACATTTGTGGAGTATCCCAGGGTCAACACCTGTGGGGCTCCTGCAAGGCTGGTCGGACTTTCTGGAGAGCAGAGTGTCCTTCCTCCAAGACAGCAGCCCGGCCACACTCCAGAGGGGCTAAGATGGGAGGCCTGCAGCCTGATGCACTTACATCACAGGCTCCCCCACGTATGCGACTCGGTATCTCTACCTCTGAGCTGCACCTGGAGAGAAACAGGCTGCTCTGCCTCGGATCTGAAGCTGTAAGTCTCCTCGAAGATGATGAATGGATGAAACCAAGTTTCTGTTTCCAGCCCCAGGCTTCCCCTGGCTGTCAAGGGGTGTCCTTGTCCACTACTGGACACAGTGGTCTGTTCACAGCTTTCCCTCTGCAGGCCATCGGATTCCAGTCTTTTCCACCCATCTAATCATTTCCCAACTTCCAAAATTTTGCTGATATACCTCATCTTCTGGATTCCCTTGTTCTCACTGATTTAAACTTAAAAAGAAAAAAAATTCCTTTACTCTCATTCTGTGGGGTTTGAGAGAACAGAAGTAAATTCAATCTAGAAGTCTCTGCTTCCTGCTTTTACAACTCCCTCTAGTTATAAATGGTGAAAAGTGACAACAGCTGGATTTGGATGGACATGCGATTAGAATCTGTGTGGTATAGGAACCACCAGAGTGAGCAGGTTTGGGACCTGGAACCGCCTACTCAAAGGGGCGTGGCAGCTAAAGTCTCTACCTCGAATTTTATTGTTCCTGTCACATCTAGTGCATGATATAATACAATTAACATTCTAAATTCAAAATTAATTTTTTTTCTTCGGACAAAACACTGGAATTTAATGGCTAGGTAAAGAAAAAGAAAGCAAGCCTGAGCAGGGAGCCTGAACAAACCAGCCACTGCAGGTGATCACAGGCTGAAAGGCCTACAGAGGAAAGAGCTGCCAGTCAGGTTCCAGAAACGAGTGCCAACTGCCACCACGTGCCCTTGGAGTCACTGTACTCAACCAGAGGTGCACAGCTGTGCAAGGCCCCGTGACCAGAGAGCTGATAGGGGGTCAGAGCCGATGGTGGGCAGGCAGGACTGGGGACCCACCCAGTGTCGGACACTCGAAGGCCTGCGTATACAGTTGTCAGACCCATGACACGACAGGCCCTAGGGCACATATACTTAACTACAAATAAAACTCAGTAGTCATTTATGTAACTATCCAAACACAGATGACACAAAAATGCCATTAGGCCCTACTGTTATCCCATGTGGCACCTTCTGGTATTTTCTAGTGTGTTCTACCTCATTAACCTAAATGATGACTGCATCCACTCAGAGACCCACACCCGGAGGACCGAATGGAGGCATGGAGACTGCTCCAGGGAAGGGCCAATCTCAGTGCAAGGTTCTAAGGGGTGAACTTTCCTTCAACATTAGAAGGAACAGTGGGAACAGTGGTTGGATGCCCTGAGGGGCAATGGGCTCTGTGACAGTGAGGACAAAGACCAGAAGACAATTTCTCTACTGGGTGAGAGGCCAGATCAGATGACATGCAAAGCTCTCCTCCAAGCCCAAGACCTTACTCATCAGAGCAAAGATTTACCAATGTATGTAAACCCTCCTCCCCATCACATTGAGAAGTTCCCACCCCCTACCTGGAACACGAGGACCCCCATGTGGGACACAGCCAGGTTAATCTTGGCTCCCTCCCTGTCGGAAGCCTTGTGAAACCTGATGCCATACATTTCCAACTTCCGGGCGACCTCGAGCACCTGGAAATCTGACTCGGCTGGCGTCTGGCCCCTGTGATAAAAGACAGCAGGATCACAGCACTAAAAACAACCAGGTTCTGAGAGAGCCTAGCACTTCACAGAAGTGATCAGGTCAGCAGAGTAAAACAAATCAGCACAGGAGGCTTTGTGTCACGGTCATCTTCACCTCACCCTCAGTGACTGCCCTGGCTCTGCCTTCTCCTGCCCATCCCCCATGGCTCCTCAGTCCCTACTGCCCCAGTATGCTCCCTCCAGGCGTCCTTCACTACAGTCTAGAAAACTTGCCAGGGGCCAGTGTGGAGAACCCAGCACCTCAGCACTGGGCCGAGCTCACTGCAGGGCCGGCTCTACCTGCAATGGATAAGAAAGCCCACGCCAGCCACCCAGTGCTCCTGTCCTCACTCCTTCCTGGCCCTGATGTCTCTTCCAGCCTTTTCTAAAGGCTGTGTCCCCAGAGAGCCGTGGTCAGCTGTGGCTTTAGTCAGAGCTTTAATGCAGGCTCCCTGATGCACTAGTTACGACCCACCGTAGTGACAGCAGTCCAGTGGCCGATTCTCACTGACTTACATGTGCTTCCGATGGAATTCTAGGATCTTCTCTAGACAACACTCCTGATGGGGCAGGTACTTGTTGACTTTGAGGTGCTCCCGATCCAGGGTTTCATCATAATCTCCTATTTCCGCTGAGATGAGATAATAACAGTAAGTAATTTTAATTTTTAAATAAAGAAAATATAAACTCACCCAGCCAGGGAGGCTCAGAGGTTGAGCATTGACCCATGAACCAGGAGGAGGTCCTGGTTCAATTCCAGGTCAGGGCATATGCCTGGATTGTGGGTTCGAGCCCCAGTAGGGGGCATGCTGTGGCAGCTGATCGATGATTGACTCTCATAATTCATGTTTCTATTTCTCTCTCCCTTCCTGTATGAAATCAATAAAAAACATTAAAAAAAAGAGAAAAATATAAACTCATATTATTTTACTACAGACTTAGGATAATTTTTTTTCTACTTTTAGTTTATGCATTTGGGTGTACAATACCTTCTCTGGCCCATACTAAAAGTAGAAAATATTATGCTAAGTATGTAGTATGGGGGGAGCAGGGGCAGGCTGGAGGGGGTAAATGGAAAAAAAAGGGATTATCTGTAATACTTTCAACAGTAAAGATAAATTTTTAAAAAAGAGTAATATAAATAAACAAGAGTTTGTATTTGTATTCCAAATATTTTATGCTATGAAGGCAAATATAAAGACAGGTGAAGAGAATTTCTTCTGTGTTTTGAAGAACTAAGACACAGGTGAGTGACTCCAGGGAGGCAAATGCTGGGCTTGCAAGCTTGATGTGTTTGTTAAGTTTTACACCACACTTTATCCCAAAGTTGTTTCAAGACTACTGTGACCAGGATAAGGTATTTTACTTGTTTCAAGATAATGTATTTTAAATCATTTTTTCCTTCAGGGCCTCTCAAATTCTTTAGGAACAATGTTTCTTTCTAATTTCATGTATTTCCAGGCTACAAATGTTTTAAAAATAGTAAAGCCCAATAATTTTAAGCAATATACCTCTTGTTTTGTCTTGAGACCATTTCAAATCCACAGTAAAGTTTCATGCATAGAATCACACTTTAGAACAGATTTTCTATAAACCAGACGTTCTTGCTCACAACCACAGCACAGCACCCATCAGGATGGGACCACGACCTGCTGTGACACTGAGCCTCAGCCCCTATTCATATTTTACCAGCTACCCAACTTTGTCTTTTACAGCTAAAAGCCCAGTTCAGAATCATGCACACTGAATGTGGCTGTCAAATCGCGTTAGTGACCTTCAATCTCGGCAGCACACTTCTAAGGTGAAAAATTATAGTTGGACAAGTTATTACGATATCTCTAAGCTGTATACAGAGCCCTCCAGCACGTGGCCAAATGAGTTTGCACTGAAAAGCCATCTGTCTGCCTGAGAAGACTTCGGGCCAAATAAAAAACAACTAAGTCACTTTGAAAACGTATGTTAGTGAGAACCAACAAGTACTATCCTGCAGGAGAAAAACCATAGATAAAATTCGCTATTTGGACCTGGCTGGGTGGCTCAGTTGGTTGGATTATTGTCCCATACACAGAAAGGTTGCGGGTTCGATTCCCGGTAAGGGCACGACCCCCGGTCCGGATGCATACATGAGGCACCGATGTTTCTGTCTCACAGCGATGTTTCTCTCTCTCCCTTCTTCTCACTCTAAAAATCAATAAAAACATATCCTCAGGTGAGGATTAAGAAAAAATGCTATTTGAAGGTGTGCCAGGGAAAGAACCAAGTAAATTATAAACGAACCCACATATATATTACTAAAGTTTCTGAAACTTTCTACAGCATGCTTCTTGCTTTCAGAAGCACTAGTTTACACCACAAAGATGTGCCTTCTCCTCTAGTCCAGAAGCAACGTGCGTATTTCCTTCCTTCTGTCCCACCAGCTGAGGGCTTGGAAAAGCTCTGGCAAAGACCATACTTGCTTGCCAGAACCTCTTCTTACATTTCTCCTAGTTTGTTTTTGAAGTAACTACAGTTCTTCACATACTGCTGAACCTTCTCTTGTGTGAGATATTGAGGAAATATTTTCTTTTTCCTTCAGGGTTTAATGCCTAACCCATCACCAGGGGAGCTGTGACATTCACCTCAAGGAGACCTCTTTCTGGGGGTGCCACGTCAGGGTTACTGACTTTTAGACTGAAGAGGTTTTTGGTAAAATTTGTGAAGGCACAAATGAGGGACAATCTGAAAGAATGTGTGTGGGACCGACTTTGGCCTTGAGCCTTTGTTTCTTAGCCGGGGGCTGTTTGCCTTAAGGAATTCCACTTTGTAGAAGTTAGTCTTCAGTTTATTACAAAATGTGAAAACTGAAAGGACCGTTCTCGTTCAGGAGCCCTACGACACCTGCTGTCTGCCACACTGGCAGATACTAACACTGCAGAAGGTGGGATGTGAGGAGGGCCGCTGTGGTGTCTGTGCAGGTCAGACGCTCTTCCAACAGGTCTCTCTTAAGTTGCAAGGCAAACAAGTATCTACAAGGGAATTCAAAACATCAGAGAGATCAGCTCCAAGGGTTCTAGAACATACTCCCCATGTCTCCATCACAGGAGAACACAGCCACTGATGCCATCAAAGCAAAGTTACAAGTAACCCTTCATACCCCACAGCACTGAACACCTTCAAATTTCTCTTACTTCTGTTACACACCAACTGTACCCATGATTTTGTGTGAAAAAGGAGAATATCCAATTAAGATACAGCTTAAAACGTGGCTATGAAACTTGTAAGCAGATTGATATTTCTTGGCTAGAATTTGAAGAACAGGGACTCCTAATACCACTGGTGAGAATGTAACCAGAAAAAGTGATTTGGAAATATTTATTTATTCCATCAACTAGCAGCCCAGTGCACAACATTTGTGCACTGCGGGCGGGGGGGCCGTCCCTCAGCCTGGCCTGCGCCCTCTAGCAGTCCGGGAGCCCTCGAGGGATGTCCAACTGACGGCTTAGGCCCGCTCCCCCTGG